AGATTCCCATGGCCCCTGGGTGCCGGCCTGGGGGACACTGGCTGGGCCCTTCAGAGTTCTTATTGTGTGATGTGACCAGGGCTAGCCTGTCCTATCTGCAAAACCTGCGGCTGCAGGGGGCCCTGCAGAACTGGTGGCGGCTGCTGCATTTGTTGTATAGCCTGCAGCATTCCTCTGGCTGTTTTCATAGGTGGGACCAAAACCCTCTCACTTCCCTGACTGGTCCCAGACTGGCTCCTGTACTGAGCCTACATCATAGGCTCACTCCCCTCATTTGCTCCCTTCTCCTCCACCATACTTCAAGTCTGCAAAAGTTCTCACCCTTTTCTCTGTTTGCTGGTAAGCTTTTATTTTCCTGCAGCAAGCCCACTAAAATTGTGGAGCCTGGTGTTTTTCACAGAAAACTCCTGATTTTGCATTTTCTGTGAAATGGTTGGATGTATGAATACGGTTATGTGTCTTATTGTTTTTATACTTTATTGTCAATGCTTTGTGCCTTTTAGCAATGAATAAATCTTGCTGTGTTTTGAAGAAGCTGTTTTGGAGACACTTTAAATCAACCAACTTATGTCACGGGCCCTTGGAGGAAAACTTGCAGGATCCAGTCACAGTTCGATCAGTAGAGTTAGTCATGGTTGGTACTGCAATTCACATCCTGGTCCGAGACTGAGTGAATTGTAGAATTCCACCATAGAAGCTGAAGGCCTAACAGCTGAAACTTGCAAGAGAGCTCATGACAGGACAGTAATACAACTAGTCATGTAAGTGGGTCATCAGTTAGGTGACAATTCCTTACGTTTTTAAGTTTGGTTGTTAAATAAAAAAGTGGCTGATATTGTACATGCTTCTGTAATTCTTAGCTACAAGCCTCAATTAAAAAAAATACTAGTACAGAAAAAACAGAGTTCCACAAAGGCTGGTGAGAACTCTTGAAAAAATATTACAGCAAATCTCTCTCACAGCCGTAGAGAATGGAATTTGTAGAATCTATTCTGGTAGCTGAGATGGTAGTTATGACTCCTGAGGAAAGTTATCATTTTAAAAATATTTTTCAGTGGGCAAATCATCATCTTGACTGTTTGACTGTATGGAAGAACCATCTGTGTTTTTTATTGCTTTTTTATTTTCCAGATGGAAATAAAAGAAGCAAAAGATCTCTGGATGAACAATGAAGGCCATGGTATTCCTGATGACTAGGGAACTGTTAGGATTATTTTGCTAGCCGAATTTTTGGCCAGATTTTTCTCTCATGTACTTTTAAAATAAACTAATATGCTTGAGAGACAAAAGCTCTTAAAAGATATGGAGAAAATGAACCTGCAAATGGATGAGAATTTGTCCCATGAGCCTGTTCATGCAGAAAGAGAAAATCACAAGAACTTAACAGAAGAAATAAATCTTTAGCGTAGACTTATTTTTTATTCAGACGTTTGACTATTTTAGTCAAATCTCTAAAGTTTCTGTGGGCGACAAATGTGACTAGATTTGTTGTGGGAAGGCTGTATTTCCTAAACAGCCAATTTGCTGGTATTAGATTTTGGGGCTGACAGTGACAATTTAGCTGGTGGTCTTAGTTGGGGTTTAGCTTGTTTGTCTGAGACGTGAATTAGTTTAATAGCCTGATATTTCATGCACTCTCATTTATCCCATGATTGGCCCATGCAAATGACCAAGTTAATTAAGGTACATACAAACTCATACATCCGTAGGAAGATTCCAGGATCCCCTTGAACTCTTGACACTAAATTAATCTCTCTCATTTCCTAAACCAAGGATCCTCAATCTTTTTAGAGGCGTAACTTTTTTAATTGGATAGGACCCCAGTTGAGAACTACTGTTGTGCTGCCTCAGTTTACCCCAGTGGTTCTCAGCCAGGGTGCTAACATGACTACAGACACAGCTAGATGGAACTGCCCCATGTTTCTCATGCACAGCCAGACTGGGAAGAAACGTGGCTGGAGCACATGCTCCTGCCCGCATTAGGCTTACTTGTTAAAGCTATAACAGATCTGATCTTGTCACAGCGCTTCCTAGTCTGACACTGCATGCTCTTCCCAGAAACACAGCCACACAGAGCAGGTGGAACTGTCCTATGTGCTTCTGTTTCTGGGAGCAGAATACAGAGCTCCTTCAATAGCCTTTACCAGTCTGGCTCTGAACAAGACACATGGGGAAGTTGCACCTGGAAGCAGTGGTAGTGGTGCCTGTGCCATGCCATCTTTGAAAAGCTTTTGCAACACTCTGAGGTGCTGTTGCACCCTGGTTCAGAACCACTTCCCTAAACTATACCCAGCCTGTGGCAGTCAAGGAAGTCAGGGGTCAAACACATGACCTCAACTTGTGTTTCACCTGAAGAAATTAATATTCCCCTAGTTAGTTTCAGGGATGAAGTTTTTGTTTCTCTACTTTAAAGTTACTCAGACTAGGCCAGGTCCCCAGGTACAGACATCTAGTAAAATCCCTAAATGAAACTTCACAAAGCAGAAACACTTGTGGCCTGAGGGCACTGTTTCTGGATAACCCTTAGGCTGCTTGTTGTGGGCTATTACGGAGCCATGCCTGCGACTCAAAACCACCTTTCCAAAATGGAACCCCAGCAGAGAAGTCTGAATGTAAATGCATCCCTTCTCCGAAAGTAAATCAACCCTTCTCCCCTCTCTCGTGTAACAGGTTTTTAATTGTATGATAAGAACCAGCCATAAAGTTATAACCCATTTTTTGTACAGTAACTTTGTGGCTTATTTCTTGTTTTACGACTCCATTAACTGCTTTAACATGTGGCTGGATTACAATTTAAGATGTGATTAACTGGTTAATCATGTCTAAGTGAAATGTGTAACAGTGGCCAGTGACCTATATCTGTCCATGAGGGTCCTGATCTTGCTTGCACTAAATTTAAAAGCAAAACTTCTACTGGCTTCAACAGGAATAGGATCAGGACTTTAACTGTTTAGTTTTAGTGTGTCACCTTTCTGAATAAAATATGTTGTCAGAATGGCATATAACAAGGGGAACATAAATGTAATGTATTAATTTGATCAGAGTGAGTTGATTAGATTTCATAGGTTTCATAGACATTAGGGGCTGGAAGGGACCTCAAGAGATCATCAGGTCCAGCACCCCTCCCACACCCACCCCCCGCCATAGGCAGGAAGTCAGCTGGGATCAAGTGACCCCAGCAAGAAATATATCCACCTGTTTTTTGAAGGAGTCCAGAGTAGGTGCTTGCACCACCTCTGGGGGGAGTTTGTTCCAGACCCTGGACACCATAAACAACTTTTTTCTTATATCTAGTCTAAATCGGCCTTCCTGGAGTTTATGGCTGTTAGACCTTGTTATCCCTTGGGGAGCTCTGGTGAACAGGTGTTCTCCCAGGTCCTGATGTACCCCTTTTATGTAATTGTAGGCTGCCACCAAGTCCCTCCGAGCCTTCTGTTCTCCAGACTGAAGAGTCCCAAGTCCCTGACCCTCTCCTCGTATGGCCTTCCCTCCAGGCCTTGGATCATATGACTGGATCTCCTCTGGACTCTCTCAAGCTTCTCCAAAGTCTTCCTGAAGTGGGGGGGGCCCAATACTGGCTCCAGCTGTGGTCTCACAGGGCTGAGTAAAGCAGGAGGATGACTTATCTGGTTTTGCTTGAGATGCATTGGTGGATGCATGCTAGAATTTGGTTAGCTTTGCCAGCCACATCATCACATTGGTAGCTCATATTCATCTTGTGGTCACTCAAGACCCCCAAGTCCCTTTCGGTTGTGATGCTAGCAAGTGTAGCACTGTCGAGCTTGTAAGTATGCTCGGGGTTCTTCCTACTGAGGTGCGGCACTTTATACTTCTCTGCATTGAAGGCCATCAGGTTTTCGTCGGCCCACCTTGAGAGTGTGTCCAAGTTTGCCCTGTATCCTCAGCCTGTCTTGAGGTGTGACCGCCCTCCCCCACTATTTGGTATCGTCTGTGAACTTGGTGAGTTCACATCTGACTCCTGAATCCAGATCATTCATGAAGATGTTAAAGAGTACTGGCCTAAGTACTGAGCCCTGAGGGACTCCGCTGGTCACCCTGTGCCACGCTGATTTGTACCTTGCAACTAGTACTCTTTGGGTCTGACCCCATAGCCAGTTGCCTAGCCATCGGACTGTATGATGATCTAGGCCACAGTTCCCCAGCCTAACCATAAGGACATCATGGAGAATTAGGTGAAAGGCCTTCTTGAAGTCCAGGTATAGGACGTCTATGTCACCTCTCTTGTCCAGGGCACGTTACCTGGTCACAGAAGGTGATGAGGTTGGTCAGGCATGACCTGCCAGTTACAAAGTCATGTTGGCTGGCACTCAGAAGTTTGCCTTCCATCATCCTTGTGTTGATGGATCCCCCTGGCAATTTTCTTGAGGATTTTTCCAGGGACAGATGTAAGACTGATTGTTTTATAGTCCCCCGGGTCATCCCTCCTCACTTTCTTGCAGATAAGGTTGACTCTTTTCCAGTCATCTGAGACCTTGCCCAAGTGCCACGATTTTTCAAATATCTCTGACAAAGGGGATGTATTGATGTCTGCCAGCTCCTTCAAAACTCTCAGGTGCATTCCGTCTGGACCTGTGGACTTGTGAATGTCCAGTTCCTCAAGGTGTTCCCTCACCTGATCCACTTCAATTTTAGGCCTGTCGCCCACTCCCAGATTGAACATTTAAGAAATTATTGAAAATTTAGGAAATTTGCGCTTACAACTTGCAGAATAATGTGTTTATATGTAAAAAAAAGAAAAAAAAAAAAGAAAAAAAAAGGATGTGCTGTATCCACATAAATAGAATTCATCTTTCAACTATTGTTTATAGTTGCCTTCATTTTTTGCCCAAATTTTATAATTATTGTAACAAGAAATAATGCATATTGTAACCAAGTAATTCATTTTTATGAGATTTTCCAGCTTTATAAACTTAAATATGTCCAGTTCTAGCTATAGGAATTTAAAACTTCAGCCATTACTATGTACAAGTTACGCTTACCCTTTTCTGCTCTTTGATATATTCCATTAATTCTTCTCTTGTTCTTTTTACAGCTTCTTCCACAGCCTTTTCACTTCGTTTCTGCTCTTCCATTATTGCTGCTTTAACAACCTCCTAGAATACACAAAAATTGATAAATGATATTTTATACGTTGAACTGAATACTTGTAGATATTTATATTTAAAATAGCATGGAGAAAATCTCTCATAGATCTCAGCCCATTCTTTCTTGAAAAGTCTTTGTTAGCATAAATTCTCTTTGTCTACAATAACAGTTTTCTTTAACTCACATATGTATATTGTGATTAATATATTATAATCTCAATATTATATTAGTGAGAAAGGAAGAATGGCTCCCAAAGCTGCTGTGTTAATAGAAACAAGATTCTTGTCTTTTGTAGAAGGAAGTGACCAATTAATGAAATAGTTTTCAGGCATAAAAAAAAATTGAGACTGATGCTACTGATACTAATTAATGGAGTAAGAAAGAGGAATGTTCACACCTAAACACGTGCATATCCTTATTAGTTTCCAAATTTTGGAGCTTTCTAGTATATTCCATAAAACTGTACAGAAAAGGAAATGTGGAATTTGAGGGAAAAACTGCATGACTGTTTATCAATCTTGATTCATCACTACAATCTCATTGCTATGGAAAAAGAAGTGGGTATCATCATGAAAGCCCTCTATTCTCCCTACTACTGTGAAACCTGGATAGAAACACTTATGGCTGATTTCCTTACACAATAGTCTAAATCAGCTGTGTTTACTGTCACTCCAAACACTGTCATAAACCACTTAATGTCAACAACTGAAGCAATCTCTGCTGGGTAAATTTCCTGCCTAATGTCACAATCATCAAATGATGATTCAAGATCAAATCAGTTAACAGATAATTACTGGCAAAATATTTTTCCTTGTTGAAGAAATATAGGTAAAGATATACAACATAAACAAATTGTATTTGTAAGACAGGCGTGTAAGGCACTTGCTCAGAAACTGGGAAATTAAAGAATTGCCAGAACCTGAGTGAGGCTTACCTAGGACAGTAGTGCCATGTGCATGGTTCATCTTATAAAATTGCACTTGTGTGTGAGTACTTACTGCACACTGCGACTTTTGGGGTGTCCTTGTGGAACTCTTGAAAAAAGCAAAATGGGTCAGAATGGGTGAAGCATAAGCTTAGAGGGGCTTAAAATCTGTCCAGTTTTGTGTGGGGATACAGCCTTTCTTCTCTTCAATTAATAAGCATATAACTTTTAACATAGAACATTTTAAATACTTTTTAGTTTATTTCTTGTGTTAATTATGCGATGCTCAACTGTAACATGTATTTAATAAGTTCACAGAAATGCACAGAGTAGGGTGCGTGTTCTTCAAATTTAGAGCCATGGTGCTGCCCTTCATGAAGTGATCAAAACACAAGTTAATGTAACATGATTTGCAAGTCCTGCTATTGTAAACTCCACTTAACAGTCTTCTGTCAGTCCAGTGTGTATGATGTTACCATGATCTGATGGAAATAAATATGTCCTGGCTAAAGATTTTACAAACAAGTGGGCAGGCCCCAAAACACACTCTTAATTCAACATACAGCGCAAGGTCCAAGTGTCCCAAATACCACAAAGCCCCCATTAGTTTCCTAAAAGCAAAACCGAGTTAATCATGAGGTGGGAATTTCCTGTACCTCATATATGGAAAAAAAAGAATTTTATCAAAACAAGTTTTGGATTTACACTTTCTGACATTATTATATAACTAGAGAATCATAGACATTAGGGCTGGAAGGGACTTCAGGAGGTCTAGTCCAACCCCTTGCCTGAAGCAGGATCATTCCTATCCAAACTATGTCAAACAAATCCTAGTCTAACTATTACTAAAACGACACACTGAACCCTGTCACAACCACAAGGAATAGCACCCTAACCTGCCATAGATAAAGCAGGAGGACAGTGGTAGCCAGCATCCTGCTGCTGCAATCATTGCTAAAATATGCTTGAGAGATCCAAGCAAGAGAGCCACACCCTCCCACTATAAAGGAAAGCAAAAATCCCCACAGTACATACCACCCTGACCATGGAGTAAAATTCCTTCCTGACCCTAAATAAGATGAAAGGTCTAGCTCTGAGTGGACCTGAGTGGAACAACAACCTCTCTTGCCAGGGACCCCTGGGTTTTAATCCTAGGAGGAACACTGGTGCACCTTGGTCAAAATCCCTAGCCTTAACTTCAGACAGTACCCAATGCTACTGAGGAAGGCAACTCCCTCTCCTCCCCGATATGTAGTTCATAGTTAGTTCATAGTTTCTAGTGTTGGAAGGGACCTGAACAGATCATCAAGTCCCACCCCCTGTCCTGGGCAGGAACGAGTGCTGGGATCATAATACCCCAGCCAGATATCTATCCAACCTCCTCTTGAGGACCCCAAGGTAGGGGAGAGTACCACCTCCTTTGGGAGCCTATTCCAGAGCCTGGCAGCCCCAATCGTAAAGTAATGCCTCCTGATATCAAGCCTGAACCTCTCAATCAAGTTGTGGCTGTTATTCCTTGTTATCCCAGGTGGTGTCCGGGGGAACAGAGACTCACCTATTTTCTGCTGGTCCACCTTGGTGAATTTATAGATGGCCAGCAAATCCCCACTTAGTCTTCTCTTGTGGAGACTGAATAGATTCAGGCCCTTTAGTCTACCTTCATAGGGCCTGGCCTGCTGCCCCTTGACCATGCAAGTGGCCCTTCCCTGGACCCTCTCAAGGTCAGCCACATCCCTCTTGAAGTGCAGTGCCTGGAACTGGACTCAGTACTCCAACTGTGGCCTGACCAGCACCACAGAGGGGTAAGATCACCGCCCTGGGATCACCTCCCTGGATCTGCTTGTGATACATCTGTAGACGCACAACAAGGTGCGGTTAGCCTTACTGACTGCTTCCTCACATTGGCAGCTCATGTCCATCCTGGAGTTACCAATGACTCCAAGATCCCTTTCAGCCACTGTGTTGTTGAGAAGGGTGTTCCCCAGCCTGTAGGTATGTTACAGGCTCCTTCTCCCTAGATGCAGTACCTTGCACTTGTCTGCGTTGAATTCCATCCTATTCTCATCTGCCCACCTCTGTAACCTGTCTAGATCTAGTTGGATTCTGTCCCACCCCTCCAGTGTGTCCACTTCTTCCCACATCTTTGCGTCATCACTGAATTTCAACAGTGTGCTTTCCACACCCACCTCCATGTCACTGATAAAGTTGTTGAATAGCACAGGCCCAAGGACTGAGCCCTGGGGGACTCCACTGCCCACATCCCTCCAGGTCGAAAACGACCCATGCACCACCACTCTCTGGGTGTGACCATTGAGCCAATTTGCCACCCATCTGACTGTGTAGGCATCAATGCTGCAGTTGCCTCATTTTTTTATGAGCATGGGGTGAGAAATAGTGTCAAAGACCTTCTTGAAGTCCAGGTAGACAATATCCACCTCAACGCCCTCATCCAACGACTTTGTGACCTGGTCGTAAAAGGAAACAAGTTTAGTCAGGCAGGATCTGCCCGCAATGAACCCGTAGTTGTTGCCCTTGAGCATTACTTCTCAAGCTGGGCCCCTGCAGATGTGCTCCTTGATAATTTTCTCAAAGGTCTTCCCAAGGACCAAGGTGAGATTAACGGGCCTATAGTTACCCGGGTCCTCCTTTCTCCCCTTCTTGTAACTGGGGACCACACTGGCCCTTTTCCAGTCCTCTGGGATCTGGCCAGAGCACCACGTGTGCTCATACAGCCGTGCCAGGGGCCCTGCTATGGCCTCCGCCAATTCCCTCAGTACCTTTGGATGAAGAGTATCTGGTACCTGCTGATTTAAACATGTCCAGCCCCTCCAGAAGTTCCCTAACTAGATCTGACCCTAGGCATGGCGTCATGTCCCCTGAGCCTGTCCATAATCATAGTGGGGGAGTTGTCCCAGAACCTGCTTAGAAATATGGAGGCCAAGAACTCGTTGAAGAGATCAGCTTTTTCATAGTTTCATAGTTTGTAGGGTCGGAAGGGACCTGAGCAGATCATTAAGTCCGACCCCCTGCCATGGCAGGAAAGAGTACTGGGGTCAAACGACCCCAGCAAGGTTTTCATCTAGCCTCCTCTTAAAGACCTCCAGGGCAGGAGCCAGCACCACTTCTCTTGGAAGTTGGTTCCAGATCCTGGCCGCCCTGACCATGAAGTAGCGCCTCCTGATATCTAGCCTAAATCTACCCTCTGCCAGCTTGTGACCATTATTCCTAGTCACTCCTGGCAGTGCTCAGGGGAACAGGGACTCCCCCAAAGCCTGCTGGTCCCTTCTGATTAGTTTGTGACAGGCCGCTAGATCCCCCCTCAGCCTTCTCTTCTGGAGGCTGAACAGGTTCAGGTCCTGAGCCTCTCCTCGTAGGGTCTGCCCTGCTGCCCCCGATCATATGAGTGGCCCTCCTCTGGACCCTCTCCATGTTGTCCACATCCCTCTTGAAGTGCAGCGCCCAGAACTGGACGCAGTACTCCAGCTGTGGCCTGACCAGTGCGGCCTAGAGGGGGAGTATCACCTCCTTGGATATGCTTGAGATGCATCTGTGGATGCATGACAAGGTGAGGTTGGCCTTCCTGACTGCCTCCCCACACTGCCAGCCCATGTTCATCTTGGCATCAATGGTGATTCCAAGATCCTTTTCTGCCTCTGCACTGA